GCAGATACAGTATGACGGCTAAAGGCAGCATGATGCAACTCACTATGACTACAGTTCATAATGTGCATGACACCGGGTTATCTAGTGCACTGTGTTTTCAAGCAAGGGTGAATACTTAGTAAGCTGGAAAAGGAACCCAAAGTAAAGTACTGAAATAAAATTGAGGAAAGATTTGCTATTTGATCCATACTGGTTAAAAAAGGGCGTTTTGATTACTTTAATCTATAAAGTACAGCTAGACTTGCCTCATCTGTAATTACTCTAAGCAGTGAAGCGGCCATATCTAATACAAATTGTGTGTGAACATCCACATCTACAAGAAATCCTGTGTTTTAATGACAAACTGCTTGTGTCTGACTGGATGCCCAGAAACAATGACTATGATGTACTGAATACTCGGCTGTATTGGGAAGATGCTGTCCTGTGCTAGCTCAGAGATAATGATGAATGTACTTTTCCTGACCTTGAAATGTCACTGTGTTCATTCAGTATCAATGTGTCAAAAACCTAACTTTTATTGGCTCATTCGCTAAGCTTACTTGCTTGACTGAGCTTACGGGCCATCTATGTTTGAATAACACTTAGAGAAAGAGTAGTTTTGACTTTTGACTTTGTGCTTTACGATACTAAAAAAATCAAATGGGGACAATGTTCCTGCAGTTTTAACTTTTCAGCGTCCTTATGCCGGTGGTTTCTAACCTTTTTAGCTTATGACCCTTTTAAAGTATTACAAAGTTTTATTTTCCACATTTGCTCTTCTCAGATTGTTTCCTATTGATAGATTTAGGGGACTGGACCCATTATTTTTACAAAATCAGGTTGTTTGAAGTCAAATTAAACACAAGTAAAAACTAGTAAAATTGCTAGTAAATATATGATTCAGGTTATTTTGGTAAATTGAGTCCATGGTCAAATATTTCCTTGTTCCTTTTTCCTATTTTGTTCATTAACCTTGCAACTCCTACGATTTACCTTGTAAACCCCTGGGGGGTCGGGGCTCTGACCCACTTGAATGGGAACCAGTGCCCTGGGCTAAAGCTGTGCTTTGAGCTGAATGCTAACAGGCTATTGTCAGCATGCCAAACTGCTGCTCTTGGCAATAATCTCAGAGTACAGTGGAGGTTAATGGGTATTCAGTCATAGTTATAGAGGTGTTGCCGGCACTACATAAAAAGTCAGGGTTGCAGCAAAGTGATTATGAATCATCCTCAAGGGACAAATAATGTCTGTTCCAAATTACATGTCAATCAATCAATGGTTAGCATCATAAATCAAAATGTTACATGGCATTCAAACAATGACACAGCTTGAGTGTCTGAAATGAGCGCTACAGAAAAAGAACAGTACAGAGGCACTGTTTGTGAAAGACAAGTTTGTTCATCCCACTTTCCCATAATAGGTCAGCAGGGTGGTGATATGCAGAGATTTAGGGAAGCAAAATGCAAATGTTTCTAGGCCAGACATGCATACACACTCACACACACAAACACAAACAGCTGGTAAGAGGCTTACGCTCCAGTGCCACACGACAGCTTTCCCATTAAAACCATTCCCCTCAGCTGTCGTGGGAGAGGAACAAGCCTCACAAAATCGTGACAACAACCTGAAGCCCTGAACAAACATAATAATTTCAAATGTTCAGCTTTGGTTCACCTACAACTGTTCTGTAATACCTTTTCTGCTGACAATAATGGCTCAGTTCAACCAACCTTGCATTTTGTGCTCTATTCAAAGAGGTGTGGGCTGTTGATGAAAAGAGTTGTTAAAGGACGCCTTGAGGCCCCTGATGGAGGTCAACTCGACATTACAGTTACAATGAAACCTTGGTAGAATCAGCCGTTACTTGCAAAGAATTGAAAGCAAGAAAGAGAGAGTTGATGAGGTGCACACAGGAAGAAATAAGACTTCCTGCCACAAGCTCAGGATGTTAGTGCACCTAACCTCACACTCTGCTGAAACCCACCCTGCTCTACTCGGTTCTGGATGTACAGCATGTGAAATGACAGAAGGAGGCAGTCAGCAGATTGCTCTCTATCTCTGCACCAGAGCGACCAGATCTACAGAGACGCCATGCCTTTCTATTAATCATTTTGACACTTTGTGTTGACTTGCTAAATAAAAAAGTTACAGTTCATACAGCCTATCAATAGCTGTCGTCTCTCCTTTTCCCTTTAAATGTACATCAATACGTTGCTGTCCACAAGAACTGCAAAAACAATAGATAGAGAAAACGAGACAAAACAAAGGGAGGGAGGATGGAACTGAATTAAATCAAGATGTATAAAAATGGACTCAAGGCAGCAACAATACACCCTGTCCACACCTACTTTTATGTACACACTCACATATCTGAGAGTTGAAATCAGCAGTATTTCAAGCACTGCACCCTTTCAGCTAATCACATTTTCCTATAATCTATATGGTCCTCAGTTTGGAATTGTTCTGTCTTTTGGAGGGGCTGCATAAATAAAGAGTTTGAAGTATGCAATCACTGCACACTGAAAATACTGTACACACACACACACACACACACACACACACACACACACACACACACACACACACACACACACACACACACACACACACACACACACACACACACACACACACACACACACACACACACACACACACACACACACACACACACACACACACACAGCATCGTCCAGCACAAAAGCATAGGCTATCGGAAAGACTATTATTTTAAGTTGATAATTATATTGGTTAAAATATCTGAACAGCACATTTCTTTATAGGAAACTGATTAAAAGCATCAGATGTACTGTATCAATATACACATTATCTTCTGACATCAGATAGAAACAGCAATAATTAGATGACCATGAAGACATCTGTATATAGACGTTTCAGGGTTGTGCTTATGGGGACAGCGATACTTCTGCCAACAGAAGGGTAATGTGTTTCTTCAAAAAAGGCACAATGTAATTGAATATTGTTCCCACAGTATCTATACATATATACTGTTCAGCGGTGTTATTTAATACTAACAAACTAGTTAATATTCCAACAAGCAAAAGCATCACAGCTAACAAGCATGAAATGAAAACAAAGGGCATGAAAATAATTAACAGGGAGGTGGAAAACTATGTCATCTAAACTGGAATTGTTGCTTAGCTTTAGGTAAGGCATTTTTGCTCATTGGCGAGTCCTTCAGTTTGATCCAGACTGAATTGTCGTCATGATACACAAAACTGTTCAACATCAGCATGTTAGCATGTCCATGTTGATGTTAACATGTATTTCAAAGCACCACTTTGCTCAAGTACAGCTCACAGGGCGGCTAGCATGGCTGCACGCTCTTAGTCGGTTAATTAAGTGAACTTTTCAGTTTTTCCCTCTGATATAAGCCTACAGTGCAAAGTACAGAGAGGAAGTCAGGAAAAATACTGTATTAAAAACTGGAAGTGAACATGAATTTAAAAAGAAGAGACTAAAACGACAGTACTGTATAACCCTGGATGACACACTTGCTTGCCACAGATATTCATTTGCACACATACATTGTGCCACATGGACATTAATCCTCTTACATCCCATCAGCATATTAAATCAAATATCCGCCAACAGTATTTCATATGCTGTTTTGTGTGTGATATCAGTACGAGATCAGTGGCTGGAGTCAATGAACATCAATTCATGTCTGTTTGTGACAGGGGTTCCTTTACTCTTGGAGAACAAGTAAGGAATTAACTATCAAAGATATTAGTCTTACCCTTACTCTTGGAGAAAGAGCAAGCTTAATGTCCGAGGTGTGTGGACTCCTGTGTGTTCATAAAAGACAAAGAAATACATATTTGCGGACAGAAAGAAAAGACACATGAAGATCTTGTTCGACAGCGTGGTACTTAATGGATCACAACTTCTGTTTATTGATGATATGCTTGACTGCTATTCCACTGTGCACAATCGTTAAAAACACTCACTGCTGCTCACTTACAGTACGACAAGAATGAGATCTGGAGCGTAAAAAGGAGGGAAAGGGGCAAGATTTCAGAGCACGGTACATAAATATGAGCGAGTTCACATGCACAAAGAGATCCAATGAGAAGGTTTTTTGCTACTTTTGCTTAAAGGCTGGTGGCTGATAGGAGCAGGGTTCGGGAGGCAAGGCAGAATTAACAGTTTTACAGTACAGTACTTGGTTTCCATCACATCACCAAAGGGAGAAAAAGCAGGCAGACAATTGCTATGCTAAGAAAGAGAGAGAAATATATGGATATGATTTATTAAGCATGTGTACAAGTGGGGATATTAAGGGTCTGAACCTGCAGGAAAGGGTCAGAATTGAGGCCACTTCATCCCATTCTGGCTGTGTACTCTCATCTGGAGAAGTCACACTCCTGAACGAGGGGAAATGTTGTGGATCAGACTCAGATTAAAGGTCTCAGAGTTATTGTGAGAGAAGTATGGAGAGTCTATAAGAAGGGAGCTGTCAGTGGGAGCATCAGGTGGCCAGCCACAAGCGTACACATCTCGTTTTCTTTTTAAGTTAAAATGTCTTCTTTTGTATTCTTTGTTTCCTTACATCGCACTATAGTATACATACTGTACAATACCCACTGAACTGCCACTGTGTCCCCAGCAGGGGTGAAGAGAACAGAGAGGTGGTTGCAGGTTTCTTAAACTAGCATTCAATACTTAATAAACACAGCAGGACACACACACACACACACACACACACACACACACACACACACACACACACACACACACACACACACACACACACACACACACACACACACACACACACACACACACACACACACACACACACACACACACACACACACACACACACACACACACACACACACACACACACACACACACACACACACACACACACACACACACACACACACACACACACACACACACACACACACACACACACACACACACACACACACACCACACACACACACACACACACACACACACACACACACACACACACACACACACACACACACACACACCCACACAACACACACACACACACACACACACCACACACACACACACACACACACACACACAAGATTTAATGCTTCACAACACAGTCGCATAATGTACAAGAAACTTCATCTTTACAAAAAAAAAAAAAAAACATACGGGAACTTTCTTCAGCTATATTACAAATAAAACATTTAGTCTTCTCTGGCTTTTAAAATCACTAATACATCCCAACCACACATGCATACAGTGGAGTTGGTGGCATGATAGCATAGCTCTGGTTTCTCTGTGTGTTCGAGGGAGACAGGAAGATGAAGAGCGAACAGGACGTAGCTGTGTGGTCACGAGGAGTAGATTGAAGTGGCTTATGAAGGATTGAGTGGTCCTTTCAAAAGGGAAGAACACAAAACTAAACAAAAAAGTGCCAAGGTAAAGTGAATTCAAGTAATGTGTGCTCTATACACAGGAGAGGGAGGGAGGGGCAGCGAGTCCTGTGGCTACAACACGGCCACTACTGGCTCTTCCTGTTTTCAGTCTGGCTCGTAGATGCGTCCGTGGGTGTTTCTCCGCGGGCAGCTCTTGAGAGGACGTCTACCCACTTGGTCTGAAGTTCTGGATCCTGGGCACTTAAGAGCAAAGTTTGCTGGGCGTGACAGAGCCGGAAAGCGTGTTTGATCTCTGACTTCTCACTTCCCGATGGCGGCATCACACTCACATCGAACCCAGGGAGAGGCACCACTCTCGCCCCCTTGGAGTCCTGCAGAAATGAGTAAAATAAGATGAAACCTGGCAGTATTTAAAATTGGGTTCACCTTTAAAAAGTGAGGACACATACTCTAAATATAGCAAGTGACAGCTTGTCTCCTCAGTTGCAGGAGAATATTTTCCACCAGGCATGTATAATAAAGCCCTCTCTCCCTTCCCCCTCTTTCTTTCTGTATAATCAGAAAATGCTCGTCCAACTCGCATTAATCCTAATCTTTGGAATGGCAGCTTTCTGCGGTGGGATTGGGATATTAGTCTTGGAAATGAAACCGAGGGAGGCTTTAACAGGCTGACTTCCCTTCTGTGCCATCCTCTGTGAATGACAGAGAATCACAGTCTTTAGCAAAAAGCTTTCCAAACATGATTGCTTTGGAAAGCATAAACGTTATTTTGAGCAATCATGTAAATTGCTTGTGACATGCATATCCTTGGGATGTTCTGAGTAGATGTACTGCTACAGTCAAGGCCAAGATTTCAAGGAACTACTTGAAATTCAAAGTGTTGCTTCTTCTGGTCCATGCAAACTTAAACCTTAGACAGCGGAGCAGCGTCACAGACAGCTACACCTAAGGTCACATTCAGACAACTAAATCCTCCCAGCACTGATCTAGACAGTTTACACACAACCAGGCACAGGCATGATTGGATAGATCTGAACTATTTATTCCCCCGTATGATTGTTTATGGTGTCTGTCCTATGGCCGTGTTCTTTATGTGTTTGTATTTTTTGCACACCGGGACAGAGTTGCACTCTGAATCTCGTTGTACTCTGTGTACAATGACAATAAAAGGCTTTAACTTAACACATGCTCACTGATATGCTTAGGGAGCACTGTATAAAAGTGGGCAGGACATATAGATATATATCCAGAGCGCTGTAACAAATAAATCAGCGGATTTACAAGAGATAACATGTGGGGGATCTTGTTTGTAAAGATTATTATCCTTTATTTGTACAGTGCTAACCACATGGTTTGATCTACATATTGTATTGAGACCCTAACATACAGAATAGTTCAAGTATACTGTATAATCCTTAAATGTGACAAAAAGCTGGAATATGTTTGAATTAACAGCTAGTTTATCATACCTCCAGATGTATATATGTGTGTGTGTGTGTGTGTGTGATGTGTGAGTTGAACGCTTACCTGTCCACTGCTCTGTAAGTACAGCACCAGTGGCTCAGCCTTAGTGACAGCTACCCACACTTTGGACCAGCTCTTCCCTTTTTCCTGCAACTGAAGGTGGCCACAGAGCAGGCAGTTGTCCCCTGTTAGAGATATCTGTCGCTAAAAAAAGATAAGGAAAAAACAAAGTTATATATTGTATATAAAAACCTGAACAATAAATATTGTTTTCAAATTATTAATTTAAATAGGCGTGTATTTAAAATCAAAGATGATTAATTGGGATTTTGAACGTGATGAGCAGCAGACAGCGCAGATCTAACACTGTACACCATTACGTAACGACAATATAGGACACAGTGAGATTTGTACATAGACAGTTGTTCGAGCTCATGCTGCCCCTTCTCTATTCCTTGTGTAGCTTACAGCGCCCCCATGTGGTGATTGATCTCACTTGTTTTTCTGGCGATCTTGTCACAGCCAGAAAGACGTGCCAGAATCAATCACAACAATATATATTTAAAGTACGGTTCTCAGATTTGGAGTATAACCAGAGAAGACTTTTGAAGCATAAAAAATGTGAAGATGACTAGTCTTTGAAAAGCTGAGATCACATTATTTTCTTACTCTGACACAGGGATTTGATGTTACGTTGATCTTTCAATGTCAATTCGTGTTGATTCATAAATGCACATGTAATGCATGGTTATAATGTGTGTTTTTATGTGTCTGTGCAATGATTTCAGACAACACATTGACTTTGTATTCAGTATTCAGTAAAGTAAACTGCTGTTCTCCATTCTCTCTTTTTGTTGCCAGCAGTGCAGTCTGTTTGACATTGTCTTTTGGTATTCTGGGAGAGCTGTATATGATTGGATTGGCATGAATCTAAAACCCATTATGCACATGCTTCTAAATGTTTTTCAGTGTGTTTGTGTTCTCAGGTGCAGCCTATGTGTCTCACCTCAGGTGCTGCTTTCTTTTTCTGTTCACTAACACCTAGAGTCTCCAGGCTGAGGCTGGCTTCAAAACACTCGGGACACACTCGGCTTGTTTTGATGTCCAAGGTCTTTGAACACTTTGCACAGATGGCCTGCAGAAGGACAGAGAGAGGAGAGAGACGTCATTGAGAAAAACCACTCAGTTGTTAACAGTTAATTGCCTGAAAGAGATGTTCCACTTATTCCCCAACTCTTTTCTTCTCTCCATCAATTCATTATACATGCTGCCCAACAATGCCTCGATGTATTCTGTCCCATCTGTGCTCACCGCTCCGCAGGACTTGCAGTGGTGTTTACGCTTGGTGAAATTGAAGCTCTCGTTGCAGCCTTTACACGTTTGCTTCTCTTTCTCCTTTTTCCTGGAACTCTTCTGGAAATACAAAAAAAAACACAGGAGTCATGTGTCAAGGTCTTCAGTCTGTTTAGTTTTAGAACAACTGAAGGAATGTCTACGGCTCGCCCTGCGTCACTCTTTGTTTGTCTGGCTGCCTGTCTTCCATTTCTCCTTTCTTATAACAAAGACACAGACATAGACAACTAAAATGGAGGTCAGATGGAGGTTTCCACAGCAGCCCAGGCTGTCAGATTGATTATTATGAATGTATAATAGGGTGAGGAGTGAAATTCACCCCTCATACAACCATTTATGTCCATTTGCAGCAGACTGGTTAATGAGGACAAGTATTAAGTCCCATTTCTCTAACAAATTGTTTTATTAAGAGAGGAGGGTTACTTTGATAAAGAACAGATGCACTGTAACCGTTTCAAACTTTCACTTTAAAGTCTGTACACACAAATGATTAACCCACAAAGGTGGATTCACTTAAGTTTTAAGCACTAACAAAGTATTAAAACCTGTTCCCCATTAGCAAACCACAAGAATCGTTAGTAATTTAAGTACAGTATATAATATCTTACCCTTTCGTGCAGTCTTTCACCGTCTGAGTCAATGGATGTGTTGCTCCAGGGACCCTGAGGAGAAATAAAAAACATTTAAATATGTGTTTCTTTTCTTTTTGTTGTTCTTCTTATTATTGCTTCTTTTATTTTCTAGTATAAAAATAATTGTTCTTTTTGTGTTTATAGAGATGCTTACATTATAGCATGGTATCTGCCCAATTGATGATATATGATGTATAAAATAATTGTTGAATTTTGGAGAACAAAGCACATTCAATTAGTTATTCAATAAAAAGTTATAATAATGTCATTATAACAAAAATATTGAGCACGAGCTGATTTTGCCTGCAGTCAAACATCTCCACCACTAGGTGCCAGTCTCGCCCTTCTGAATCACTTCCTCTGTTTTGTGTCAAGTTACATTTGGCAAGCGTCCAGCCCAGCAGGCCCAAAGTGGGTCAAAAGCAGGTCCATAAGAGTTGTGTATACACTTTGACTTGGGCTTTCCCTATTAGGTCATGAGAGAGTTCTGCTAGAGGAGCCTCACAGACACTATGTGTGCAACTGTGAGTGATGGAAGAAAGAGCTTCTTTATGTGTGTGTGTGATGTGTGTGTATGATACATCCATAGATGGGAGAGCTGTTCAGAAAGACAAAGACCAGACTATGACTAAATGTGTTTGGCGTACCACTAGTCTCGCCTGAGTCATTGCACAGGATGACCCACTAATTGAGTGATCAATGAACTAATTGATTTACGCAGAGTGAGACTGACCGGTGACTCGGGGGGGTGGTCATCTTCCCGGGAGAAGGAGCTGTTGAAAGCTTTGTTGAATGTTTCGCTGTTTTGTTTGTGCCGTTCGATAGTGGCAAGGATCACCTGAGAGTCAGAAGAGATTTAGAGGACAGAGGAGGAGGAAAGGAAAGTGAGGGGAATACAAAAGGAAGAGAAAGATTATTAATCAGACACATCACCATTTGAATGCATTTATTTTCTTTGTATGAGACGAAGGGGAAAGGTTTGCTTATTATTAAAGACTTATAGCATGATCTTAACGTTTTTCTTATCTTATGTAACCTTGTTTTATTTATGTTTTTTCTATCTCCAAAATCTTTCATGTTTACATGCCACTGTCCATGCGTTTTCTGACAGCCCCCTATGTAGGTTTCAGTTTTTCTCATGCTTACACGAAGACTCAAACAGGCGTAAAACCTTGAAAACCTCCCCTGCAACACGCCCACCCCCTCTTCTATCCGGCACAATGTTTTAATCAGCTTCGCTCTGCTGTAATGAGCTAAATGAGCAATAATGAGGGGATTTATCAGAGAATATAATTCCCAAACACACTGAAAGAGCGTGAGAAGGATATATTTGCTAATTCTATTCTCTAGTAAAGAAGAACTACCAATCTGTTGCATGTTCATAAGAGATAGAAACCTTGTGGGTATAATGTGCATGGGTGTATTTCTATATCTATGAAAGCATGTGTGTGATCCTTGCCTGAATCCAATCTTCCTTCTCCTCAGCCGTCCTGTAAAACAAATCATGAGATTACATTATCTTAACATGAAAACCACACAAAGCAACAATTAAATAGCTTAGACTACTCAAATATTAAACCTCAAATAGTGCTGGCTGAGTAATGATATAAATAATCGTAAACCCAAACCAGTTTAGTTCACTGGTTTGAGTAGGTAGCATGTACATCTTTGTTAATAGAAGATAAACAAGTTATTTATTTACAGCAGCAGCTAGTTGGTAAGAGCTAACATTAGCTAACAAGCTAATATGTCATATGGTATGTGTAAATATGGCTACCAAGCGAGCAAACTGGTTCATAAAAAACAACTAATTATTTAAATCATTTCACAATTTATATAGTTAACTTCACTTATTAATATGATTTTACATAATGTCTTAATTATAATTATTTATGTAGTTTCCATAGGAATAAACAGCTATATATATAGTAAGAGCAACTGTTAATATTTCAGTTCAGAGTGTTTTATTTTGTCTCTGGAAGTTACTTTATGACCTTACCTGGCTTGCAGCTCCAGTGACCGCTGCTTGCCGATAATGGCGAATGTGTGAGGAAGGTTCTGCTTCACGTTCTCCTGGACCTGAGGTCAACACAACAGAGGAAATTGGATTTGTAGTCGCCAGGATAAATAAAAGGCCACAGTAGAAAACAGAAGCACTTTAAGTAAGCAGAACTGCACCTCCATGCCAGCGATGTCGATCCTCTCCCTGACACTGAACTTCTGTCCCATCAGTCTGAGTTTAGGCACGCAGTATAGCACCATATTGTTGAACTACATCAGAGACAGAAAAACTGAAATTGATGAGATGTTCACAAAAACATCCTATTGTTTTTCAGATTCAACACTTCAGTGCTCTCACCAAGTAGAGGTATCTGTCTTGTGCTGTTCCGTTTTTGGCTGACATCTTTTTCATATGACCTTCTTTGATAAGTTCATTTGCTGGGTTAACAATGTCCTCTTCTCCTCCAAGCCTTTCGTAAACCTCCAGCAGCTTGTGCATTTTCTCCTGAAAACATGATGCAACAGAAGGATGAAGAATTGCAGAAATAGAAAAGGCAAGAAGACACTTAAGAGTGGAGGTATTATCCAAATGCCACCAGAGGGGGTTATTTTCCTATCAGCCAAGACTTTAACGCTGGAAAGCAGGTATTATATATCTTTATTGATTCAAAAACACTTTGTCTGCTTGAGTTGTTTCAAGGATGTGAGAAATAGGAGTAGAATTGCCAGACAGAGGATATAGAGGAAGAGGATGAGTGTTTAGAAGTCACTCAGGCTTCCGCAAGCTGTGAAACTTGAGGCAGGAAACGGCAACTTCCTGTCTGTACTAATTCAACTTGTTCACTCCCTCAGACGAACACTTGCAATGTTGCTGACTGGCAGTACAGCATCAGCAACTCTTTGATTGAGTAAGACATTAGTTGTTTTTGTATAAAGTGCAATGACACAGTGAAATGAAGAGATGACAACAGAAAAGAAAAGACTGAGGTGAAGTCTCAAAGTCTTACCATTTTCCTGATTGCTGCATTGGAATGGTTCGCTGCAGTAGAGATGAGCTCCAGTGCCTCTGTAACAAGCATGCACATATGTGATGTTAGCATACATTCAACAATAACATCATATGTTTGAGTCAAACTAAATCTAACTGTACCATTCATCAATTTATACAGATAAGTAATGGGTTTGTTGCTCTCTGAAAAATAAGATGTCACACGAGCTGTATTATAAATTAAACTGGATCAGAGGCTTAACATCACTGTCCTAACATTAAACACACTGCATGCATTAGGTTGGCTTTTAGCCAGCAGAAAGCCTTGTGAGCACCTGAGTCAGCCATCTTAATCATGGCCTACATAAACAGAAGAGACACACTGCTGGGGGAAATGGGGCAAGAACAACAGTGATAAACTGCTTTACAGCGCGGAGTGGACAAGAGAAAAGCCCTGCACTGTGTGGTGAATGTTAATGCTCAGGTAAATGGAAACACAGGGAGGACATCAGATCGTGGAAAATGGAATTTGAAGACAAAAAGAGAGACATACACTTCACGTCTGTGTGTAATTTGTCTCTACAAGGTAGTAGGTGAAACTACACACAACCCGACATCATCCTCATGATGAAATGATCCTGTTATCCTAATGAGGCAATACTCAGGCGGAGCTACTTTTCTCAAAAGTACAGATATATTATTACTATATATTTCACATTGATTCTTGTTGTGATAATTCAACAGTGCAAATACTGTGTGCAAAAGCACTTAGGCTAGATTGGAAGTTTTCTTGGAATTTGAAAGCACCAAGAATGTGATGCATTGTTGCAGTTTTAAGATTGACAGTTTCTGGAACCTAACATAGTTTCTAGCTCAGTTGAAACACGTGATTTATAGTTATTGGGTGTGTAATGATATAATGTAGATCAATTCTTCACAATTTCCAAAATGAGAATCATGGAAACAATGACTCTTGTAGGCTTAATCTAATCTACTGAGATCTTAACAAGGTTTGTGTAAACATGGAGCCGCAAGGAGCGACATCCACAGAGGGTCAGCATTGTTAATCAAGATGTGTTCACATATGAAGTGATCCATCTTTACCTGGAGTAGTTTTGCAGTTTGTGTTGTTCGGCCACTAACCACCACTGTTCACAGTTGGGTAAAAGTGTCCGTTTCAGTTAAAACAGATCGATCATTTTTAAGATTACCAGGAGCTTTACTCCTGATGCAATATTTTCTACTCCTTCTCCTCGTCCATCACGGAGCTATATCACCCAGGATAAGCACTAATGTTCATTTGTGCATTATCAACTCAAGTTGACGTGTCTTCGCCTCAGCTGCGCTTTCTGGAATGTGAATCTGCATTGCTTCAGGTCTTTCCATTAACCTTTTTGTGTTCATGCCACCTCCTATTATTGAATCATGTTGGCTAAATGGCAGCACTCAACAAAGTTCAGACACTAGCTCTTCAGTTTGATATATATAGTAACCTAGTCCGAAAGAAAGATACACCTAAATATTTAAATGTAATGCTTTTGCACATTTTAGGCTTGTGCATTTCAATCCTCGCTGTCTGTTTTCGGCCAAAAAATAAATAATCTGAGGACATCAAACCACAAACCAATGGTTTTTGACAGTCACGCACCCATTATATAACGATAAACCAAATTACAAGTTAAAGCTTGAATTAAATCCAAATTCCACTGGCAAAGGTGAAGCAGAGGTAAACAAATAAATTTAAGGGAAGACAGAAAACTACGCTGGAAGATTTCTCTGCACCTTGTAGTTTATCAGTCTCACAGATCAGTGTGTGCATCATGTAAAAACAGTCTAATGTCTCACTCTCTGCGTCTTTCCGGTCCAGAGCGTCCTCGGGCAGCTTCTTCAGGTAGTCTTTGAGCAACAGTTCGTAGCGAGGAATCCTTTGGACCGGCTCGAGCATGTGGTGCTGCAACGTCAGGTTCCCACACACATCCTGTTTCTGTTGTTTCAAACACAAAACAAAGAGTTGAACTGACAAATAGTGAAAAAAACAACAACTGTTTTGGTAGTGTGGAGCTATGAGAGGGTATACAAACACTGGTACCTTCTCATTTAGAAACGAAAATAGAAAATAAATCTGGATTTCAAACTATTTATCAGAGTATACAGGTAATGAGTTAACAAAAAGCGAGTAGGTATCAAATTAGGAGACAACACAGTCAAACACAGACACCTACTTGTATATTGTGGACTACACTCTTGAACTGTGAGGACCGCTGTGTCCAGGTGCTGACCAGCTCCATGGCTCGGTCGAAGTTCTTCACATATTCTCCGTACATCTTCATGAATGGAGCCAGTTTCTGGAGGATGTCTCCAATACGAGGGTTGGAGTCCCTACAGCAAACACAAATAAATAAACAGGTTAAACCAGAGCTGTCTCATACAAGAAAAATATTGTAATCTAAAGGCTATTATATTATACAGGACATCACTTGTTAATTTGTTTATGTCAAACATTTTTAGCTGATTCAATTGCATTTTTTCTCCTGACATTTCACAATCACAGATAAACCTATTAAGGTCATCAAGGGTTAACATATTACAACAGATAAGAGACAGAAAGCATTGATTTCATTCTTCAGAACCCAGAAACAAATGATGAGTAATAAAAGACTAGACTAATCTTCTCAAGAACATTATTGGGGAATTCCACAAATTATAATTTTTTATGAACTTCTTCCTGAGCTGCACTTTTCTGACTTACTGTGTGGTTGTCTGAGCCCATTTTTAAGCCTTTCTACCTCAGCCTATTCTAATGAGTTTCAGAAAAAGTGTAAGGGAAATCATTATGTGACAGGTGTTTCCCAGCACCCAGCCCTCTCTAGAGGAGTCATTATCTACCGAGGGTGGCTGATGTTGGCACAATAACACACACTGGGGGTACATTTCCTGCCTACTGTGAAGAGAAAATGTGTTCATTCTGCAACTCTGTCACACACAAAATCACACAACCAAGCAACCTGACACCACTTAAAACCTGACAATATGCCCTTGAGCAAGGCTACGGTCAACCCCCCCCAGGATGGGTTAAATGCAGAGGTCAAATTTCACTGTGTGTGCTGTGTACATGTATGTGCGACCATTAAAGAGGGTTTCGTCCTCCAATTCTAGTTCTTCTAGTTCTAGTTCTCCACTGCCAGTGCCAAAAGCTGTCTGAGTTTCACAGCCAACACCAACGGCCTAACGGACCACAAACGGGGGCCAAACCATCGTTAGTATGATGTCACACTGCAGCTATTTGAAAAGCCGTTGAACAGCCGGGTGTTTATTCCTCACCATTCTCCAGTGATGCGTGTCTTGAGCTCAGGCAGCAGGAACTTGTCATGGAAACAGTAGATGGAGGAGATGTTGGAGAAAATCCCTGTGATCGCATCCTGAGGGATTCCAGCCTCTGTGAGCTTAGTGCAAAATACCTGCAGAAGGGGAAAAAACATACAGTATGTATACAAACACTCATGCAAATGTTGCCAAAAACAACCGAATGCGGATCCTATTCATGGGACAGGCATGTAAATAAGGAAGGAGAAGTTTGCATGTTGCCGTTTATCCACATAAACATCTTAAGTGTGACCAACAGCTTGATACGAGTCATCTAAGACTTACTGCTAATGTATGAGACACTCCTGTAAACAAGATAAACCATTATATATAAACTTGTGGTCACTTTGAGTTGAGCTTTTAATAGTTTTTCTGGTAAAACAGCAACATTTTTAATTGACATTTATGGACATTTAAGGCCAACCACTAATGATACATTGCATTAGGGCTGCAACTAAAAAAATGTTTGTTTAATGCAATTGATAAGCCTCAATTGCATTTAAATGTCATTAAATGGGTACATTCAGGCCATATTTGGATGTGCTTTACTATATACCTATTCTAAAACTAAATACTACACATTGCAAAACATACTTAAATTATATATTATGAAGTGAATTGTTGACATTCAAATATTTAATCTAAATGCACTTGTAGACACATAAGGGTGTACCAGACACGAAGGCTCTAACGAAAGATGCTATGGGTTGCATTATGGGAAATGTAGGATATAGTGTGTTTGAGCATGACCCATCACAGAAACTGAATACGAAAAATGGTTTCTTCATTTTTGTATTTTAAGTCCCACAACTTTATGGTAGTGCAACAATAAATAACCAGATAACCCATTTAAACAATTAATAATTAATTGATTACCAAAATTGTAAGTGGGAAATAAATAACAATACATCATTTATTCTGGTGATAAATTGCTTGACTAATCACTTCCATCAACATCTGCTTCCCTGCCAGTCACAGAGAAGGATAGACACAATTGATTCCAGTGTTGTGTGAAAGTGCTGCGACAAAAACAGGAAGTTAACTGTGAGGGTTTTATGCCCTCAGTAGCAAATAACCCATATCTGTTCAGTGATAGGGCAGCCGTGCATCTCTGTGACACATGAACAGAACAATGAGGAAGGAGAATTAACCACTGCGAGTACATTCTCATCACGAACATGAGCGAACACAAATAGAGGCTGAAATTAGGCTGGAAATTAAAATACAATAATCCATTTCGAGATGTTTAAACCACGATGAATGAGTTTCTAGGAGAAAGTACTTAAGAGATACTCTTAAAAATCAAGTTATTGTAACAAAAGTTACAAAAAACAACTTCTTCTAGTTACTCAAACGTGAATACTTTTTTCTCTGCTTTGAATGATATTTAACAGAATATCTTTTAATTATATTAAACAAGTAAAAATAATCTTGTATACCAGAGAAGTTAACACTAGATTATTTTAAACGGCTGTCACCACAATTTATGGGCAAATCTTTAGTCAATAGCAACTATTACCAAACATGAAACGAGCATATTGGGTGTTTCTAAAAACATTGTGGGGTGTTCCCTATCAATGACGCTATCAAAACAGCTATATCTGGGCTGCATCATCTACCAAAACAGTTTTTTTAAAGAGCTTTCTCATTTTCAACTCAGATAAGAGTCAGGAAACACAGATCTTTAATCTGCAGGATTTACGTACAAGTAGTACGTAAATCTACTTGTGCGTACTTGTGAGGTCAATGTGAGGGCATGACAGAGAAACACACATAAACACATGTGCTGCTTTACACAGTGGACACACACATGCTTAGATGGTGGTGACAAAGCTGTATGTGTGCTGCACATGTATAAACTAAAACACAGGGAGTTTCTCACACGATTGTGATTACACTGCTCGGGGTAATCCGGTCAACAGAGGAAGGGGTTGTTGTCGGGTGGATCGCAGAGCCAGTTTTAATCCAGCTCAACCCTAATCTAAATCACTAAGACCTCTGGCACATTTAGGAGATTGAAATGTGGCATCCAAAACACACAACCATGCTAATGGCAAAAGAGACGGAGGCACACTCTTACCTGGTCGAGGAGGTTAAGTCGTTTGACGTAGGCCTCTTCAGTGTGGAGGAGCTCTTTGGCGATGTTCAGGAGCCTCTGAGTCTCTGAGCACTGAGGGGAACAGACAGGAAAGGATTAGGTCTGAGGCATGAAAACTGAATCATTCTTAATAATATGTACGCCCTTCATACTAATAAGGACACTTTGCAGTTATTCAGAGTTTAAGGCAGATGGCAAATACAATTTTTTTAATTTAAAGAAGCGCAGGCAATGAGAAAGCAAAAATACACTACCTAGCTCCACATCAATGCATTTTTCACTATACTCAAGAAAGCATACAACACAGTGTAACACATCTTTCCTGCTTGCAACAATTATGGATTTGGTCCTATAGTGAGTAGCTACAGCAGCAGGTGTATGTCGGGTTGCCTCAGCATCAACTCAAGTGTCCAATTGTATTGTAATGAAGGAAGATTCAGCATCAACAATATTAGCTCTATGGTATAGAGAAAAAATAGTGCCTATGTCTACACAGGCAGAATTATTATAAATGTTGTTTTGAGTTATTTTTAAAGGAATTCTTAAAAACAATATATATTTAAAACATCCTTATCCCTTAATGCTTGTGACTGAGGCAACCGTTAGCGGCATCCGGAGCAGTATACGGTAAAGTGACTTTCACAAAGCTCTATTCTAGTCACTGGTTTAGTTCAGCCGTGGGAACGTGTGAAACTGATATGAAACGTTATTAGCCGAGGTGGTGAAAATGAAGATCTGCCTCTCTCATTATGATTTCTTGAAGCTAAGATCCACCTAATGTTTGAATAAACTTTAGGAATGATGTCTGCCAATAGAGTTCATCAGAATGACCAGCATGACACAGAACAGACATCGGGGCCACCAAACATCTCGCCTATTGCGACAATGTGGATTTCACAACTTCTTTCTACCACAGAAACACACTCGCACACACCCACACACCCTTGTAAAAGCACTTTTAAACAAACACAATACATGGGAGGGTGAAACTCTCCACACACACACTGTATAAGAATATTACTTTAACATGTATAATTATAACACTTCGTACGCACATTACTGACAACCCACATCCTCTGTGACACGTATGTAATTATAAAGCCATCAACATGACAGCTGTAGACACACACACACACACACACACACACACACACACACACACACACACACACACACACACACACACACACACACACACACACACACACACACACACACACACACACACACACACACACACACACACACACACACACACACACACACACACACACACACACACACACACACACACACACACACACACACACACACACACACACACACACACACACACACACACACACACACACACACACACACACACACACACACACACACACACACACACACACACACACACACACACACACACACACACACACACACACACACACAGCTGGGCTCAGGAAGCACTGGATAGCGGAGATAGCTTTCCCCAAAAGACTGTGGGTGTGGGCGGTCGGTAGAAGACAAATATGTGTGTGACATTCGTGTGAGCATTGCAAGTGTTTTAAAGCTTTAAAAGCAATACTGAGCAAGTTTTATTCGGCAAAAACCCAAAATAGAAATGTTTTGGTAATGTGACGCTTGATAACTAAAACTCTGCTTCTAGTTTCAGCTTTCTCACATTTTATATTTGTCTTTAAAGTCTCTTCTCGTTTGAGATCGTTTCATCCTCTTGTCATCTCCCCCAGACTCTCTTCCTCTTTATTTTGCATATTTTAGGACTTTACTCTTATGCAAGGAGAAGTGCGTGCACTGCTTGAGGTGTCAGTGTTGTTGACAATCAATAGTCAGTGAAGGACAAGAGAAAAGTGAAACTTGAGCTCAGCAGCGGGAAGATATCCGTCTCTGGACTCTTTTATCCAGCTGTCATCACAAGCTCATGTTACATCATTTGGGCAGATATTCATCCTTTTATGTAACGGCAAAGCTGCTTTTAGATACAAGTCAGTAACTTGTGACCGGCAAACCAAGGCTGTATAAGTGTCTAACATTTCATGCAGAAGTATTCTTTGAAAATGTTCACCCAGGCTGAGGTAATAATAGACACAAGCCACTTTTTTCCACTACATGAAAGGCAGTCTGACTGTCTGAGATGAGGCTTTTTAAACTTTCAGGATGTGCTCAATTTAAACATGCCCTGATAATTCCTGAACATTTTGAAGGAACATGAAATATAAATTAGAAAGTGTACTGCAGCGGGTGGATGGCAGTCAGAGGGAGACATTAATGACCACCTCAGAGGTGCGTGGGGGGAGGTTTGTTCAGACTTTAAATGATGGTCTTTCAGGTTTATGGTTATGACTTGATGATGCTGAAGCATGCGAGGTACTCACTTTGTGCGCCTCTGAGTGTGCTTCGGTCAGATACCCAGTCTGTGTGTCTGTCAAAGAGTGTATTTCTCCACTGCTCCCCTCATCCAAGTCACTGTCCTCATCCTGTGTTGAGTCTCGTTTGTTACCCAGGGTAACGCAGGACACACTCTCCGTTTCCGTGACACTGTCGTAATGATCCTCCTCGTCGATGGCGTCCTCGTTGGGGAACACTTCCCCTTCGGCCGCGCAGGACGGGCTGTCGATGCCGCTGTCCCGGTTGGGAATCTTCCCGTTCTGCTCCGAGGAGTCCTGATTGTCCAGGAGCTCGTGGGAGGTCCCTTCCTCCCGCTCCACGTCGTCGAGGCAACCAACGCTGTGTGTGATGTCACAGTCGTCCAGTTGGGCGTCATCTGAGCCGTCGATGTGTACAGAAGCCAGACGGGAAAGTTCAGACACCTCAAGAGTCCTTTCAGAGGTGCCGAGTGCAAGTTTGTCCACTGAGGGGGGGTCTCCTGCGACCTTCGCCGTGGGGTCCTGGCCGCAGGAGGAAGTGATGTCAGACGCAGTGTCCATTCTGAGAGACAGGTGCAGCTGGGACCGTGGGAGCACCCCCAGGATGGGAACCCTGGGAAAATTAAACAAACACTGTTGCACCTACTTTAATGAAAAAAATGTGCATCGTTAAACATAGCTAAATGAAAAATCAATACACTTCTGCCTTCAGGAGAAATAATGAGAATAAATGTGTTTTAGTTTTTTTTACATTTCACACTCAAGCAATAAAATCAATTCAGACCAAAAGAGAGATTAACATAAGGACACTTCTTGTTTTACATCGACATACACATCCAGACACATACTCGAACCATTTCAGAACAACATATGAACCTGACAGGCAAAGCAAGTATGATTTCTGATTAAATGTCCCGGCCTTACCTTGAATTCTCAAACCTCTCGATGAGCAGCCCCACCTTCTGGGCCTCTTTCTGTGACTGTGCTCCCGAGCCAGGAGAGGTTAGACTGGGCTTTGGTTTAGGTGGAGGAGGGGGAGCAGGCAGAGGCCTGGATGGAGGCGGAGGGATCCTCTTAGGTTTCTTATCTTGCCCAAGGGCGAGCAGGTGCGAAGGTTTAGGGGGCACTACAGATGCAGAAATCCAGAAGAGGAAAAAACAGCAGAGAAAGAGAAAAGCATGAGGCTACTGACAAGCAAAAAAAATTAAATCAGGTAACGCGTTTAAATCCAAGTGAGAAAACCTCCATGGCTGGGTCCATGTGTGAAGCCTGCTTGTTTCCACGTAAGACAAGAAAAAACACTAGATATAACTCCAAATCCAACAAAGTACAGTCCGACATAGAATCTAGTAGTAGCGATGCAGAGTGAGAGCAACACTGAGCTGCAGCTTTCTAACAACTTCCTTATTTCAGAACAGGATGCTGAGAAGAGCGTGTGTGTAACTCACCGCGGTTCCAGTGAGATCAAAAAAAGTACAGAGAGTTTATGACACCGTTTTTAGAATTGCACACTGCATGCCTGCATACTATGGGCTTACGATTTCACTGTCTACTCTGAATATTTGCATGTATTGTCTCCTTTGAAATCCATAGGTATGGAACCAGGACATGTGATGATGTGTTAACATTGGTAAATTGAGCACTTCCTCTGTGTGTGTGTGTGTCACTGAGAGAAAAAGTAAGGTTGAGTAGACTTTTCTCTACTCACGGTAAACTATGTGTACATGACAGGACGTGATGCATTTTAAAATATGTTTTTGTGATTTGGCCATATCATTTAGCATTCACATTGTTTATCATATTTTAGTATGAAAATATGAGTTTTTCCAGCAACCTTTAAAAGACACTCAGGAATATTAGTTCCTACTCCTCCAAAAAAATCTGTTTCCAGAATGATGACTCTCTCGGGATGAGATACAGGTGGAATAAAAAGCGCTTTGGAGAGGACGTTCATCCTGTCAGGTGGGAAACACTGTTTATATTAAAGTGCACTACTATTATTAGAATTGTGCTGAGAAATAATGTTTTTCTGCCCAGCGGAATAAAATGTGATATAATTAGATTCCTTGTCTTTAGGCACATTATTATCACTGGTAGTCCATTTCAGTCAACTGTATTTTCTACTTGCTGTCTTTTTGATATATTATTAAATAGGTTTAAGCACTTTATTCTAGTAGTAACTCATCTTAAGTGAGCAGCTAAAATTGTACAATTACTGGCCATGAACTATTTGGATGTATCACTAAACCTGGGAATAACTCATTGTACACACGAGGGACAAATCAGAATGACAAAAACATAAATCAATGAGAAGAGAAACACAGAAAAGGCAGATGCTCACATTCAGGGCATAACAATATCATTTGGGAAAAAAAGTATAATCCTGAATCACAACACTGACAGTAAATAGTAAAATATTTATCTTATTTTCAGTCTCCAGCCAACTTTGATTAGTTGTGAGCCACTTAAATATTGAGGCCAAGTCAGTAGCCTATTTTCCTACAATGTTTCTCAGTAATTCCCATAACACAACACATGTTATTCATATTTAGCATTCTTCAAATGATGCCCGCACATCAACACTTGGGAGCGACTGGCCTGCTTTACACCAGCCGCTCTTTCAGAGGTGACCTACTGAGCCGTGTGAGTGACAGAGTGAGGTCGGACAACTGACACGCACCATGTTATAAAAGAGGGTTTGTCAGAACAAATGACGGCTCAATAGCAGGGCTCCCATCTTGCTGCACTTTTCAATTATAGTCACAATGTCAAATCTGGCCTTGAAAGGGTTGCCACAAGTATTTTACCTTGAGGTTTCTGTGCAGTTGGCGGTCTGGGTAAGGTGGAGGGCTGGGGCCGGGGTTTGATGGCGGGTTTGTCGTGACATGGTCTGGGGGTCGGGCCTTTCTTCACCAGCCGTGGAGAACACAGGTGGTTCGCGGATCCGCACTGGTACTGCAGAGAGGAGGCAGGAAGGTCTGGAGAAAATAAGACACAAGGAAAGACAATATCAGGTATTGATCGATATAATGAGATTCATCGCAACACACATATCCAAAAAAACTGCGTAATCCTGCTACAGCAATGCAGTGGTGCGCTTCATTTGATAGCGCTAGGTGAATGACCTTGAGCTCACTGTGTGTTTCAGGACGTGGCCCTCGGACAGAGATCAGTGGGACCAGAGAGGATAGAAACTCTGCGCTATTGATCCTGACACCAGGCCTGAGGCAGCAGACACTGAGCAGCCTATTGGTTTCTCTCACGCTCACTGATAGGCCTGTATCTGATTGACTCCATCTAATCTGCTCTGGACGCTGTCTGTAAATAGATTGTGTGTGGGTGAGAGAGAACGAGAGAAAAGCTGAATAATGTAGTTTGGTTAGTGAGCCACATCAAAGACCAATTTCCGTTAGAGAATTGTATTTTCCTGACTCTGATTGTGTCCTTTTGGAAGCTGATTTTGGTTTTATTGGTCTGACCTTTACTGACTAAAGAAGCTGCAGTGTATTTCATTTCAAAACCAAAAGATGACACGATTAAAGACCCAGATTGCTTTGAAGTAAAAAAGACCACAACCAATCCCCTAAGATCATTTATTTCGAAATCAATAACTATGTTTTTTGTCCATTTGGGGGAAGAAAGAGGTAAAGACAACATCAAAGTAACATATAGCCAGGATTTAGGGCACAAAGACCGTGCCTTTGTGATCAACTCAAGATAAACTACAGTGCCCATGTTTATGGTAATAGGAACATGCCACTGAGTGCAACAGTGTGGTTCAATCTTGTGCTTTACAGTAATAGAAGAATGGACTTCCTGTATACCAAAGATAAGTAAGCTATATCAGGTTTAGCTGCACAGACAATTGTTTAGTCTCAATCGCTCTAGTAAGTCTACTTGTGATAAAGAGAGCTCAGAAAATCTTCGAGTAAAGTGGTGAGAAAAGATAAACGAGATTATGCACTAAAATGCATCTAAACTTAGAACGTAAGTTAAAGAATTAGCATCAGTAAAACCATGGATTAATTTGTTTTCAGTTTCAGGCTTGATCACTGTCTTATCTATATTTTTTATCCAATCGAAACACGACAATTGCTCTATAGTATATATAGTCATAATGACACTAAACCTAGATCCAGACATAGAAACACATTAAGGACAGACATTATAACTTAAATGTGGTATCAGCCTTACAGACAGATACAAATGGTAAGAAGCAAAGTCGAGGAGAAAGAAATCCAGCTTTGTTAACAACCATACTTGGTTTTTGTGTGCGTATCACATTGTAGATATTGTGGCACGTATTTTTGGCAGTTTAAGTTGTTATCTGAATGTGTCTGTGCAGGAGACGTCCCTCAGTAGATAATGTTAATAACTATGTAAACTACAGCCACATATGTCTGTTCCTTTAGGCTTGTGGATTCATTCTCGTCATCCCAACTCTTTCTCAACTGGATTACAGCCCTGAGATTGCACCGTGCTCCCACTAGAGCCCCGGCACATCTAATTTGGTGTTTTTTTTTAGCCGTGCTTCAGGCAGTGGAAGGAGAAGAATCTGTCAGTAATGAGTCCTGTTACGCTGTTTGCCCCATGTGGCACACTGCAGGCTCCCACAACATCTCTGCACCACAGCAGGGGAAAAGCAGACGAGGGGAAAAGATGAGGCTTGCAGACTGCTCCATACAGTACAAAAACCTAAATTGTGTTTCCTCACAAATGCTCGGGCCATCCTTGAATTGTATCCCTCGCCACAGCTATATGGTGTGCCTCTTGCCATTTGAGTCGAACCCTTGAGTCCTCTCTGATTTACAGAGGGTATTAGCAGAGGAATTGCTTGACCTATGATCAAGTGCAAAAGCATGAAAAGCAAAATGACTGCCTACTGAGGAACTCTCTGACCCAAGGCTTCCTCGGGTCGCTCCTGGGAAAAACAAACAGCGGCGGATAGACGGGGGCATAGGGGCTGGTACCTATGGAAACTCAGTGTAGCCATGGCAACCTGAGAGTAAAACCAGGCCCTCATATGAAACTGTCGAACACCAAACAGTAACTTGACGACGCAGCAAAGAGAGGAGCTGACACACAGTTTTACTTAATTAAAATCTCACAAACCGAGGATAAAACGGACACATCATGGTAACAGTAACCAGGAAAAACAGTGAAATACACAAAGTGAGCAAGCAAATAACATGTATTTATCACTCTATAATGATCCCTAAACTGTTCCTAAGCATAATGTATCTAGGCACTTCAGATTACAATATACAGAATAGAAAAAAAGTATATAGTAGTGCAACATATTCTGAGAAAAAGGTTTATTACCGTGCCACCAACAGTTCAGTTTCACATATCTTAGGTCCAAAGAGCAAGTGAGCGAAAAAAAATCTTCAACACGACCCGGTCAATGTCAAAACAAATCCTTCCCCCTCAGTTGTACGTGTTCAACTGAGACAGGCCTTTGTGGCAGACATAACACAAACACACACCCTAAAAAAGTAGTTCAAAGCCAAGTTGAGCACAATACCACACACACAGATTCACCTGGCCTCCCCAGCTGTGTTGGAGGAGCTGCACCTGTGTGTTCACCTGCCAAACCTGATCCAACTACCTCCTCCCAGAGCCAGAGTGACGTGCACGTGAGTCACTGTGGAAGCACCAGCATACTCTTACAACCGGGCTATAAACACACCACTCATTAAACCACACTGTCATTTTAAAAACTGTCAAGTAGATAGAAACATTATCTGAGGCTATGAGTCAGTTACTTAATTGATTTGGACTGAGGGATCCAAGAGATTAAGGTTGTAATTCTGCAGGCTTTTGTGATAACACACAGGAGAACGCTGATCGGAACTCATTAATTTCCTCTGCTTAGTTCCAGTGACTGAGGGACGGATGAATGGGACAATTTGATGGGAATTACACTTATTAGGACATTATAACCATGCTGACAATAAGGATGTGAGTTACCATGACTACCTTTCCTTGTTTCAACACTTCCAGCAAATATATGTCTCACTGCATCTTTTATAGGGTCCCTATTATATAGGTGTTTCTGCATGTAAATGGTATGAGAAGGCTAAAATCCCAAAGCTCCCTGCAGAGAGAGTTCCTAGTACATAGGACATCGCTATGTAACACTCCCGCAACACATTGTACGTTATAGGCTAAGGGACGGGACATCACTAAGCGGTTGACCAATCACAACAGAGCCAGCCAGCTAACCAATCAGAGCAGACTGGGCTCTGGTTTCAGACAGAGGGTGAAAAGAGATGATGCAGCACAGGCAGTATGAGAACAATACATACCTTTTTGAACATTATGTGTCACAGACTCACAGTAGAGGCACAAAGTACAAATATGAAACCTGGAAATGAGCACAATAGGGCCCCTTTAAATCAGGCTAACCAGGTTACAAATAACCTGTCCATGTTCATTCATGGCTGTGATGTAACAAACAGAGAGAGAACATATTGAAAAACACACAAAGAATGTTTTGGGTCAGAACCTGAAAGACTGCATTACAGTGTATTACAAACACAGTGAAGGGCTGCTGTGTACCTTACTCTCATACTCTCAGGTATTTGACAGAGACACTTTGGGAATGTGAAGACACTCTCGCCTTCTCTTTGAAAAGCACGTGGCCCCAACACATCTTTGGTGAATTCACAAGAAAAAGGAATGTCTCTCTTGTGTCACTACATACCAGCAGTTAAGTGTCAGTGTGTTACCTGTTTGCAATGACAGCTTCTCCCTGAAGTTCAACATTTTTGCAAATGCCTTAATAAAGAATATCACTTTTAAAAAGATTGTGTAACCTGTCAGGCAAAGTCTTAACACTTTCGGCCAGTCGGTCACAAAATGAGGATCAAGGTATTTTTGTCTGTGTCATTTTAAAACATGTTGCTTAACCCACACATGACTTGGGCTACTACTTTATTTGAATATATTTTGCTGTGGTGTGAGTTAGCATGGTGATCATGTTAGAATGATGATGTTAGAATTTAAATTAAGACACCACTGTTCTTGCTATTTTCAGAAAAAATAAAATAAATTCTCTAAAAGGTAATTTAACACAAGCAGCTTTTTCAAGAGTTTAATATTTCGATTTTAATCAGAAGCTATCTGATCTAAAATTACATAAACAAGACATGAATCAATACTTGAATTTAGTTCATTTGATACTGAAAGCTAAAAGGCACATTTCTATCAAACTAGGCAATAAAAAAAAAATATATATAACACTATAACCTGTTTCTTTGACAATAAGTCTTTAGTTCTTACCCATAATTAACTTTTTATTTAAATGTAGCTTTTAATGGCAGTAGCTAATCTGACACAGAAACTGTTATGTCTTCGAAAATGTACAATATTTTCAAACAAACAGTTGTCCTTGCTTCTTTTCTTCAAAAGACCCAAACAGCAACGTACCCGAAAAATTGCACAGGGCTAGCTGGCTGTCAGTCAGCGTCAGCCCTGAGGCGACCCCCCCCCCCCCCCCCAGTCATTTATTACCCATCATCCCTTGAGTACAGTCCTCTCGCCCCAGTGCTGTCGGGGAGACAGATCACTCAGATTCAGCAGAGTCTCCCCAGTCAGACAGCCAGTCAATCAGTTCTCCTCCTCCCTGCAAACCCACCCCTGGTGAGGCTGAGCTGAGAGCCTGCTCCCATCCCATCCCATCACATCCACCCCCCCCCCCCCCAATTCTCCACCAAGACCCACAGCTGAATGCCAATGACATTATTCCTGAGTATGGCAGCTCATTATTCCCACATCTTCCCTTGTGTCTCTGCCTGTATTATACCTGCTTGGCTCATCTCATTCTGTACGTGTCCATGTTTTGGTCTCTCTCGATCGTATTGATCCGGTTTCTCTAGTCTGTTACCTTGAAACACTCGAGTCAGTCTCTCATCTAATGGCTCTTTGATTTATAATGGCAATTGAGCCACATAGCTTTAAGGATAGTACTACAATC